AAAACGTGGTTTTTTAGATTAATTTTTTAATCTACTATAATTATTTTATTCTTTTTAAAAAATATTCTTATAATTTTTCTTTTCACAAAAGATTGCATTGTCATCAGTTTCTAAGCTATCCTGAAAGTTTCAGCTTGCTAGCTAGTCGGGAAGTGAGCAAAATTTGAGTTGCAAAATTTGATCCGGACAAACAAACGGACAAGAAAGCGAGTTAATAAAAACGTGTTAATAAAAATCAAGATTTAGTGCTGGTAATGACATTAAAATTTAACATTGAAATATAAATGATGACTTGATAGAAGAAACTTTATTTCAGCTTTCATAAATTTACAAAATGCATGCATATAAACTCTTATACTTGATGCAAACCTTTCAAAAAGGCTATTCAAATAAATTAAGTTTCCAGTGATCCAAAATAACCAAAAAAAAAAGTTATTCGTTGTCTCCACAGCATAATGGAATAACAAACATGACATTCCTTTCTTATATTCTGTGGAATGTCCTTCACACCAAGTTACTTGTTGACTTAGGCGTCCATGAACAAGTACTTGGTCATGATGACAACTGTTGATACTGTACACAAACTCTGCTTTTCAACACACTTGACAGGACTCAAGTACAGTACTTTAAACTTGGCGGTACTCAAGGATTCCTTTGTTCAAGTCAAGATTCGGAACGAAGCAGCAAAAGCTACACAAGACGAAATGTTGTCAAATTGTAGAAAAATAAAAAGCTCTTTTTGGGATTCAAAATTATGCAAGTTGCGTTTTTGCCATTATAAAGAATAAAAGCTCAGATTTTTCGTTTGTTTTTGGCTTCTAGAAATGGTTGACGTCAACAGCAGCTTTGCCAATTTTCAAAAAAAAAAATCAGTTCACTTTCTTTTTTATTTCTCCGGCTGAAGAAATAAGGCTTTGCAAATGTGCTTGTTTTTCTGCAGCTGGCTTCATGAACCTCGTCCCGGCGAAATGAAACAAACTTCGTTCGGCTTTCAATAAATATTTTCGTTTTCTTTCAAATCTTCGATCAGGTACAGTTTCTTGTTGTTGTTGCAGTCATTCATACGAGCCACTCTCTTTCAACCTCTCCGAGAAATATTTTATGGCTTGAAACGCAATGCCTTTGACCTTTTTTTTTTTTAAAGCAGGACGCAATGAAATCCTTATTATTTTCTAACTCTACAACACCGAGCTTTAAAGTTTGTTGAACAGACGTAAACAACTTCTTGTTCACTTGAGTGTATTTTCTTAAGGTTGCAGCGTTTGTCCAAATTAGAAGGGTTTTTTTTCGACGGGGGAAAAAAATCAGGCCTCAGCCCAACATTGTTTACAGCATAACTTAACAACTTCGCCGAAAGGCAAGCAAAAAATATTTGTTTTTATGCTTGGAAACCATAAAAAAGCCCTAAAAGTCACGTCTTCTTCAATATCCATGACAAAACGTTTCGGCAAAAAATTTAAAATCGCTTCCTGTTTTGTTTTCCTGCGAGAATTCAACAACAAAAAATTCTTGAAACTGTCGGAATTCACCAAATGCCATCCTCAATTTCAGGGTGTAATTTTTTTTTTCGAAAGCAGGGGTAATTAAGAAACTCCTCCCAACTGAAACAATCGTTTCCGGTCGACTGAAAACCAACAAAACACCCAAAAAACCAAGTTAATTCATCCCGAAAAAAAAATAAAGAATTTAGTCAGTGCCCCACGCCCAAAACATCGCAAATGCGTGAATGTTGCACTGAGTCACGCGCAAAACATCAGCACACAGGAAAGAAACAATTTCGGATTTAATTGCAAATAATATCAACTAAACACGAGAGAGAAAATAAAGGAAATTGCAATCAAACCGAGTAATTAACGGAAGATCGGAAAGTAAAAGCGCACAACGAGGGGAAAAATGGGCGTCTGCTGGTTTTCACCAGTGCATAAAAACAGCGATTTTCTTGTACCGGGTTATTTTTTCTAAAGTATACCTTTTTCAAAATCAACTGTTCTTTTGTTACTGTATTACAGAAGAATAAAATCTTTCTGCTTTTTATTCATGAAGCTTGGATGAATAAATAAAAATGTTCGATCGAAGTACGAAGTTTCCGTATTCTTCACACGATTCATTCTAATAATCCTTGACACGCGAATTTTCTTTTCAAATATTCAATATTAATCGAGCAAAAATTAAAAATGTGAGAGCTTGTCTTTGAATAATTTTCAATACCTGCAAACTAATGAGTGATCCAAGGAAGTCTTTGAATTTCAGCGCACGCGAACTTTTCCGCAAGGAATCATCAAAATGCGTCACAAAATATTCCTTTTTTATATATATCAATATATGCGATTAGAAGAGAATAAAATGCCAAAAAGAGTTGCCAAAGTCTTAATTCAACTAGAATGATTTGTCGTTGTTTCGCAAGACTTTTCCTAGAAACCGTATTTTTTTCATGACTGGAAAATCAAGAAAAAAAAAAACAAGCCGACAATTCCCAGATCTAAAAAAAATCACTCATCGAAAAACGAATTATTTTTTTCTCAATTGACAAAACAAAACGAAATTTTATCAAAACAACGAGTTGCAGTGACCGAAACGAAGTGGAAAACGGATTCGTTTCGTCTCCACAAAAAAAAAAGATTTGTTCACGAACCGTGAATCCGTTCATTTGGAAGCATTTCAACGTCGCAAAAAAAAGCGTGTTTCTTTTCTTCGAGGCTCTATCTGTTGAATTCCAACAAAGTTTCCCCGTTTTCTTTCAGCACTTTTCAATCAAAAGGTGACACATGAACGAAGGCAACGAAGCAAAACCGAGCTTTTGGAACTTCATTATACCGCTACCCGATTGTTTTCGATTTACCGAACTGGTGGGAAACGAATGGATTTCCTTTAAATTGAAATTTTGTAGGGCGAAAAATGTCTTCTTGTAATGGGCAAAAAATAAAAGGGTGCTTTCTGGATTTTTTCAAGGTACAGTATTTTTTTGCCGATTTCCGCGTCATATTCGAGATGGATCAACATTCAAACGGTTAAAAGAAATGAAAAAAGCTTGGTTAAAAGCAGGGATATTAATTCAAATTAATCACGTTGTTAAACACACTAGTAAATTTAGAAAAGTCAATCCAGGAAAATGAACTATAACTGTACTTCAAAAATCTGTGCAAAATGTTTTCGCACCTCCATCAGAGGAAAAGCAAAATACTGTATTCGAAGACCACTTGTTCAAGAGACGAATTTCCCAGTTTGATTTTTTTTACAATAAACAAGTAGAATTTGTTTCGGTTTTCAAATTTGAAATAATCTGGAATTTCTGATGAGATATACTCAGTAAGGAATGATTGGGATGCGAAAAGGTCCAATCTGTTTTTCACATCATGCAAAATTACGTGAAAATAGTGCAATTTTCTGGTTATCGTCTAAAATGTATCGCCTAAAATGATCTTAAAAGAAACATCAGAATGGAAAAAAAGGTGTCACAGTGAATTTTTAAAAAACCGAATGACAAAAATTAGGCATAGAAAACCAAGGCTTGAAATGCAACCGTGTGAAACATTTTACGTTTAAAAAAACAACTCTTGCGCAGAAAAAAAAAATCAAGCACAAAACAACTCAGTGAAAAATCCATCATGAACACAAAAGAAAGTGTGATCGAAAGTCAATGACCTAGAACCAACAATTTTTTTGGGTATATACAATAAGATTCCATATATGAGCCGCGGAAAACATGCGTATTTCATTTTCCCACGTAATTGATTATTAAAAAAAACACAAAAGCCTCGCATTCAGTTTCACCACAGAGAAAAATTAAAAAAAAAGCTATGGAACAGGACAAAAAACGAAAGAAATTATTTCTCTTTTTCTTAAGAAGAAAAGATGAAGTAATTCTTCTCACCTCAGTGTATTCTCCAGTATTCCAAACTCAAGTTTCAGATGCTTTTTCTTTTTACTCGGTCTTTTTTCTTCTTCTCGCCGTGACGCGATTTACGTGTACTTGTGCTGTACTGTGACCGCAGAAGAAATGACGAAACTCGAGTTGGCTCTTTGACCAGCACCGGAAGTCGGCAAAACCTCCATCAATCAGCCATTTCATCCATCACAGCCTGGCAGCGAAGAGAAAAAGAAAGAAAAAAGGTGCCTGTTAAAGCGATTGTTTGAACAACTTCACAGCGAACAAAACACATGACACACACGAAACAAAAAATGGAATGCTGTAAATTCACGAGTTCATGGTGATGCTGTAAAATAAATCATCACTAAATGTTTTCAAGGTCCTTCAGCATTATTTAAGCCAACTCGAGGAGCACTTTTACAATGTTCAGATTTGTTTTTCGAGAAACGGTTCTTGAAAGCAATCACATTTAAGAAGCTGAAGTACTGTATATTTAAAAGATTAACATCTTGATAACTCGCTGATTTTTTGTTTTGTTTCGCTGAAGATCAGCAGTTTACATGATGAAAAAAATATTAAAATACAGTCAAAGCTGCTCAAGTCGACCTTCAAGCGACCAGGAAAATATTGCATTAAAAAGTTTTTGAGTCAGGGAATCAAGCGTTTGTGTTGAAGGAATGAAGGAAAAATCACAGAAAATTGTATATTTTTGATATTCTAAGTTTTATAAACTGATTTTTAAATGAGTTGACAGTATGTTGAAATTAGAGGTAATGATTTAATTGCCCCATTAGTCTTTCACTTCTTTTAAAAACGCATCGATTTACATTTTTATTGCTTTTCTCTCCTCTGTGTCAATGAAATAAACAAAAGGCCTCCAGAAAATGAGAATTATGAAAGTTGGAGAGACTTGGATTTAGGGATTTTCAATTTTTTTCTCAAGAGAATTTAAATAGAGACTTTAAAAAAATCCGACTTAGAAAGGTTAGAGTTATTATTGAGCTACAACAGTAAAACAAATATTATGTATAAAATGAATTTTTCCTTTAATTCGCAAATACTGCATAATGTAAAATTTTTTCTGCTTTTTCAAAGACAAAATTGTAGTGAAACATTCGTAATTTTGCATACAACAACTATTTCACGTGAAATCAAATTGAAAAATAATGATAATCCGCAGTCAATCTTCGCAATTTCTAATGGTTAAAACGAGCTCGGAATTTCAAAATTTTTGAAAACATTGACCCGCCTTTTGCAACGTGTCAGGAATTTTTCAAAGCAATGTAGATAAATGTGCTTCTTCAAAAAAGGCATTGTAAATTTTTCTCTACATCAACTTTGAATCTGATGAAAAAATCTTTCTGAAATATATTTCTTTCGACGAACTGCGGAATAGAAAGAATTCCATGAACCGTAAACCGGACTTGACGCAAATTCAGATCCAGGCAGTTCAAAAAATAAAATAAAAAAACTTCGACAGTGAAATCTCATCAAAAAAGCTGTAGAAGGACTACATAAATTTTCAATAAATTCGTTTTCCTTCTGGTACTGAAAACCAGTTCTATATTGTAATTTTTTTTCACAGAAGTTCAGTGATGAATCTCAAGAGATAAGCCCGCATAAAAAATGTCGAGAAAGCCTCGTAACGTTATCTTTCCAACATTTTTACATTTCTTTTTTTCAACACCAAGTTTCAGTTTGGTTCAGTCTTCGAAATGATTTTTTTTTCTTACTCATTCTATTCGACATGAAGATCATTAAGCCGAAGATAATTCACCGGAGCCTCGTCTTGTTACGATGATCCAGCGAAAGGCAGCGTTGAAAAATTTAGTCGTTCGCATTCTTTTCCTCTCGGAAAAAAGGCGTTAAACCCGGGAAATTGCCAATAAACCTCCTTTCCCCCCCCCCTCTAACCAATAAGACCCGTTATTCCTCGTATAATACGAAACCGCTCTTCTTCATCGACTGCACCCGTATAAAGACGGAGAGAGAGAAGGAATTATGACTAATAAATTTATTCTTTTAGCGGTGAAACTTTGTGAGAAATGCGGCGTAATACACTGACCCATATCTTGGGGAAACAGCTCTGCGAACTAAATAGTCAGCTGGCCTAAAAAGTAAGGGTAATAAGAAGCCTTACTTGAGACCCTAGACTTTGTCGCAGCAGAGTAAACTTATTTAGCATGATTGCATTCATTCGAGGATTCTTTCCTTGCTTTTAAGCGTTATATCTTAACGTTGAATGTTCCCTTGAGGATGGTTTCAAAAATGAAAATTTAAAAATCTCTTGCATGGGTTTTATTTGATGCTGAAGTTTCCATTGTATAGACCAGTGTTCCATAACCTTTTTGGGACTGAGGACTGGCAAATTGTCAAAAAAAATTTTGTGGACTGCCAAATTCCACAACATTTTTCTGCAGAGACCAGCAAAACTTCCTAAATATGTTGCCAACACAAAAAAGTGTTGCTTGAAAGAGTTTCTGGCAGGTATTATTTAACCCTTGGGCTGCAAAGTTGGAGTTTTTCTATTGGAGAAGCTTTAAAAAAAAACAGAAGAGTGCATTCAGTGTGAAGTTGGGGGAAAATCCTGGCTTATTTTTTAAAAACTGCAAAAAAAAGTGTGAAACATATCTCCATCACTGTGATTATTATCCTCACTTTGATACAAAATCCACATGTTCATGAATACAACAGGAACAAGGCACTTGCATTGAGTTACTATGGTATTTTTCATTATTTTTTTCCCCCACTACCAGCAGCAAGAGCAGCAAAACACTTGTCAGTGTGTATAATTTTCACCCACTTTCTCCTCTCCAAAATGCAAGTGTATGAATAACAAATGCAATACACAAACACACACACAACACACACAAAAAAAAACACGTTCTCTTGTGCTACTGGTATTTCGAGCCTGAAAGCAGGCGAAAACAATCAATTGCCATAAGGAAAAATAAGGACGAGGTTCGGTTCAAAAATTGCGACAATTCCTGGAAATATCGGAATGTGGCTTCTCAAATGAAACAAATAAGCTTCAGTATGCTGAAGATCAATATTCTTTCGACTTACAAAGCGTTTTTTTTTGTTGTTGCTGTGAATCCATGAATGAAAAGAATTCTCAAAGATAAAAATGCTTCTGTCAAACAGGAAACATTTTAAATGCAGCCAAACTGTATAATAACTCAAATATTGCTACGTAAAATACCTTTGAATTTTAAATTTCTGCTCTTTCCCTGTACCAATTCCCTTAGAAAAAATGTAACAGAAGACCATGCCACCTCAAAGAAATTCCTTTGCAACCCTCCATGACTACTTTATAAGCAGGACGTTCAAACTTTTATACTCTAACACAAGAAAAAGCCAGTAAAATTTTAGCTTGATGAATTTTCAAGGGGAAGTGAATGAATAATTCAGAATATTTAACCTTTCTTTGAAGATCAGCATCCTGTCAGCTCACTGAACCACAGGCTCAAAATATCATCAATTTTACCTTCCTGTAATTATTCATATTTTCTGAAGAAAAATGCTGGTCTCATTTCTTGATATTTCCCTGAGGCGAATTTTTTGGTATCATTTTTGGAGTCAGCATCCTTCAAAGATTGATATATTTTCAGGAGCATCATGACTGGAAAGAAATTCTTTCTCTATTTTGTAAGGCTAAGCTCAAATGAAAACTTCTCGTTCACCTGTTGAGTGTTGACACATCACTGCTACATTTTCATCATCAAAAACCCCAAAAATTCAAGATTGAACCCATTTTGAAATAAAAAATGGTCTTCAGATCCAAGACTTGATCCACTAACTCACAGACAGCAAAATTTCTAAGAAAACATTCATGGTTTTGAAAGATGAATTCTAAATATATTTCCTCAACATTTAAACTAAGAGAAAAGGTAATGAGATTTTAAATACAAGAAGAATAGCATCGCATTCCAATTTAATGAAGTTCTTCCGATGTGCTGTTTGTCACAGAGTTGACGATATATGTACTCAACTTTTGCACTAACCCTTGACAATGAACAGACTGCGAATAATGAACAAAATAAACTTTCCGATGAGAGTTTTGCGCCTGGAACAATGGTGCCAAGTTCCCTTTTGTGGCACTTCAGAGCGAAGTTCTTTGTTAAAATCCACCCGAAACAAGAGTACTTGAGATTTATTTTCGGAAAAGTGAACGAAGAATGATGATGGACATCAAGGTTCTTTCTTCTTTCTTTTTTGAACGTAAAACGCGAGATTTTTCAGAGGTCTTCCTTCCAGTAATGAAAATAAAAAATACATGAACGAAGAGGTGTTATTTCTAGGTCAACAGCCCCTGTCCCCAACTCCAGGATTTTACTTGCGATTGTGTAGGTGTCGCCTGAACGTTTTATGGTTCATTCACGGTTGAATACGCTATTTAATAAGGAAAATAAATTTACTTGCAGTCCAACCATAAACATTTTTCAAGAATAAGCATTTGATTCACATTCAAAAATAATGAATGAGAAACTTAAATCTATGAGAGGTATCCATGATCTCAGGCACATCATCTGTAATTTTAATGAACAACTTTATTCTGTTGCTATACAAACACATGAACAAATGACAAATGCTGTTGGGCGCCAATACTTACTGTATTTTATTTTTTAGTGCAATAAAATGCTTGTTTCTTAGAATTAAAGGAGATGTTCCCCCTCCTCAAAATCGCAGTGCCAGGAACATCCTGGCATCTTCAACAAGAACTTCCAAAGATCTGATTGGAGAGTAAAACCTGTTAAAGGTTAAATATTACTGATAGTATAAAAGCTGCATCCTATATATATTCTCATTAGATCAGTTCAGTTTGTCTGAGTTATTCCAAGTTATCCACATTATCCTACAAGCCCGAGCTCATTGAGTTGTTATTCATTATCATTGTGTGAAATACACTTTATTCATTGAACTAGGAATTCCAAAGTGGAATCCCGGTCCTTCCTGGACTGACTAACTTGTTTTATTTGTCTAAAAATCAAATACTCGACACTTAACTTATATTGAAGACATTTGTCCTCAATAAATGCTTAGTAATCAAAGGTCAGCCCTTGATAAAGGCTGGGTCTTTGAGAGATTCAGCTCAATAGTACTGTAGTCAGGTTTAAAAAACTTTTGCTACTGACAGTGACGCAAAAAAAATTTGAACTAATCTTCAAGTTGAATGAACAGAAGC